TAAACTGTGATAGAAAATACTTATTGAACTGAATAAATAAATAAGATGTTAAAATAAATCATTTATCGCAATTAATAATTTCTTAGTAGAACCAAACAGATAAGAGTGAGGATGTCTGCCAGACTAAATCGGAGCCAGCGAGCGTGGAATTGCCTAGACTACATATGCCGCGAGGATTAGCGAAACAGTATTACGAAAAAATCGGCCCAGACCGCCACCATGACCTCATCTCTCAGCCTTACACCTAGACTAAGTCTATCATACAGCCTCGCTTACATCGCAATGTTCAAGAAAAGAAATCGTAAAAAATATTTCAAATTTAAATTCTACTAACCAATTGTACACGATGCACCACTCCAACCAGTTGCGCATATACATGTATCAGGAGCTGTACATGTACCACCATTTTGACAGCCACCTGTGCACACAGCTGAAAGAAAAAAAACAGAAATTATTAGAATCAACTAAATTCTGAATTTAAGTTACCAGTTTCGCACGTGTTACTAGTCCAGCCTGTAGTACATCCACAAGTCGTGGGACCTGTGCATTGCCCACCGTTTTGACAGACGATTGTACAAGATTCTAAAAAAGAATAGGCTTATATACATAGGTTACATTTGTTCCAAAATAAACAATAAAATACATTAGAGTAATTTTTCTCAGCTCTATAATTTCTAGATATAACAAATAACTTTGACATAGCAAGTCGATGCTTGAGGAAAGTTTATCTGAATAATTTTTTTGAGTCTGACATTTCTGTCAGAAATCGATTGATAACTTTTGATCTCCTTTTTTTTATTATAAGGATATCACTCAATGTAAATTTTCATGGTGATCACAAATATCCTGTTTAAAATTTCGAAAAATCAAGTTTTGTTTAATAAGAGAACCCAAACACTATAAACAGAGATGGAATAGTGCTAAAATGCGATTTTCAGAATTGTGATTTAAGGTCAGTTATGATTTTGGGAGTCTTAAATATTAGATGGCGAGACTTAGGTGTTGTTCCTCTATTTAAATAATGTTATATTAACTATTATCATAAAACATTCTAATTTACTTAGAGAATCTCATATAGTGTTACGATGGATGATAATGTTTAATTATATTGCAACCCAATTCACAATAAAAAAAGTCGTTATCTAAGCTGATGTTGCTACTATTCTTATATAAAATTTCAGATTCATATATTTTTTTGCATTTCGACCTGAAACGGAATCTGTTGAATCTAAATTCTAGTTCGAATAGGGATCCATCCGTGCTCCTAGATAAGTAATAAAACAAACAGCCAACTCACGGAGAACAACACCACTGGAACCCTGAGCATTGCTATTCGTGCCATCAGTATGGGATTCAATGTGACACAGCTGTACAGGTAACGGGGTTCCATCATCCGATGTAATAGTCACATCGGTCACACTATTGAATTTTTCATGGAGATTATTGAATAGCTCAACTTGACAAGTCAATGATTGGCATGCTAAGTTTTGTGGATAATCTAATAGGACGTCGAAGATGATAGCAACACCTGGAGTGTCTGTTTTGTCGCATTGAACGCTATATGTACAGTCATAGATAAATATGAATAGCTGAAATTAACTGAAAAAGAAAATTACTCGCGACGACGTCGACCTTTGGCGCTGTTTGCTACTGCACTACCAATACCAGTGACAGCGATACAACCTTTGGGAGCACCAACTGCTTGTTGTAGCTAAAATATATTAAATATTATAAACTAATATCAGAGATAAAAATTACAGAAGCAGCGGTCGTAGCCCGGTTGGTAACGAATTGCGTAGCGCGCTTTCTTGTTAATCCAGATGGCAACATGTAAGATACACTGAATGACGCAAGTGATTTTACTAATAAAGACAATGTATGTGTATGATAAAAAAAAAAAATAAGTACTAACTAGCTTCCTGTAATGTTACGATGTTGTTGGTGTTATTGATGTTGGTGATGTTAAAATCGCTTCCTGATACGTAGAGCGGAATAAGCGAAAAGATAGTTGTCCATATGAGAGCAAATACTACCAGTAGGGAGAAGCCAAGTTTAGAAGGCCTATACAATTAATAAAAGATGACAAAGTTCATCAAAGATACTGAAACTCACTTTGGAGGACGTTTCAATCTTAAATGAGCCATAGATTTGATTCGATTGAAAGCGTGTTGTCTTGAAATAAAGAAAAATCTGAAATGAATTTCTATATAAAAATAAAGTGATGAAGAGAAGTCCGCTCGATATCTGCGGTTTACAAGTTACTGGTTATAAGCGAAATTCTAGCTTACAACTGTCGTCATCCTATGCTAAACTATGCATATAGGAACCCTCAACTAAACAAAGTCGATTGATGATGGTTGAAGAAAAGCTAGTAAATAGTCCTACACTTCAAATATCGAGTATGCTTCTTTTGATACAATCAAGTTGCTTTGCCGAAATCTGAAATAATAGATTTATTATTTTATTAGAAAAAATACGAGATAAGTAGTCGGTTATTTGAGAGGCCATGATTCAGAGTAATACTTATTCAAATAATATCAAATTCCTTTAAGGGCCAAATCACACGGAGTACTCAATCTAATTATGCGCCCTATCAGACTGCGCGCCAGTTAAAACGGGTACATTTGTTTATCTTAGAGTTCATTTAGAAGTAGCCGTCAAATTCAACTTCAGATATAAATGAAATTTGAACGGATTTCATCCCTTTCATAGCAAAAGCAAAAGATAAATTTATGTTTATATAAAAAGTCGAAATATCAGTTTAGTTGAGTAGTCAGTTAGACTAGGTACAGAATGCTCTTAAATATTCAATTACACTGAATGTCTGGTGGAGATAGATCTGATGACTCAAAGACATCCTAATACTAGTTCCAAAATTACAGAGCGTCTCAATAGTTGAAGGATGTTTAGCATGAAGGGTATTGCGTGAATAAGAGGAATTCAATAGGAATGAAACAATACCCGAACAGGATCGACGTCGAAGGAGAATACACAAACATGTTTGTTGCGAGTATAAACGAAAGAAAATAGCTACGCAAATATATAATGAGCATACACTCATATACCTTCTTATATTCACGAATGAGTAATGCACAACAATATTTTTTGCCTGCCTCCGCTTGCTTTTGTCTTGATAAAATAATAAGCAAGCAATTAAATACAAATGGCAATATATATCTTTATTTTTTTTCTCAGATAGGTAATGCCTATTATGTATAATTACTGTCATTAGAGAAAAACAAATGTAATTTATTAATGAGTTGTTTTTCATTAACGAGATATACAAAGGCAATTAGATACGAAAGTTTGATGTTCGACAATATGTAATTATGTTTCACTAATGAGATATACAAAGGCAATTAGATACGAAATTTTGATGTTCGACAATATGTATTTTTCATTTTATGTGCAACCATTGTGTGTTATAATGATGAAAGTTTTCAAAAACGAGTATTATTCACGCTGAAAAAATCTAAAGTATCTACTATTGCTCTTTAAAATGGTGCTAACAAACTTTGAAATGATTAATGGTTAATGAAAGCGTTTATTGAACCAAAGGTTTATAAATATCTTATTCTACAAGTTTCCCATAAGTGTAATTTGGTTAATAGACGACAGTAGAATATTAAAGACTCGAAAGATAAGGGTATTTTTATATTGACCTTAGGATTTGTTGTTGTACTTTTTCATTAAGAGAATGTATTATTCTATCTTTCAGGGACGAATATCGTATCTGGAAATGCAACAAATTCAAAGCTTTGTGGGATAAGAATTTGAATTTGTAAGCTTAGACTTAGTTGCGAGTTTTTGAATTATTGAAGTTAATCAACAGATATTTTGATCATAATAGATTAATATAATATCATTATTTGCACTCATAGTTCTTAATATTCGTAATATAATAAAAGAAAATAAAGATAAGATTTTCTCAAATACATCATCAAAATTGTATAAGAAATTATTTTAATATTGAATGATTTCATTTTTTCATCTTTATATAACCATTTATATTTCTGATATACACAAGCTTTAATATTAATATAATTACTTGATTTTGGATAATTAAAAATACAAATTTTATTTTATTTAATAAAATTCAATATAATAAATATTAAGATTACATTAAAATAAAAAAGTTCAATGAAAACTTTCGTATTTATTTCTCAAAATTTGTATTCATTTTAATAATTTTTAGACACAATAATAACCAATTTAATATTTTCATTTAAAATTGATAATTCTTATTATTTATGTATACGTAAATTTTTCATAATTATTTATTATAATTATTATAAATTTTTCTCTGTTATTTTATTCATTTTGATGAATAATATGTATTAATATGGTTTTATTTTTTTTAACATATTGAATAAATCCTGAAAAAAAATAGAAAATTTTATTTACTTTAAAATATAAATAAATAATAATAGATTTTTTCAAATGATAAAATCTTTTTAATCTCAAATCTGTTTTATAACATTCAGTATGATATAACGAATAATGGATTTTAAAGAAAATCATTACTGATTATCAAAAATTACTAAATTTTTATATTATTTTTAAAAGATTTCTTTGATAAATTAATATAAAATATGTATATTATTGATTTAACAACTTTCTAAAATCTTCTTTTTTTATTTGAACTTTTCTATTAAATTGTTTGTTAATTTTAGTATTGATAATAATATAAATTGTTACTATGAGAAAAATTTCTATTAAATAGCAATACAATGATCTTTATTGATTTAACTAATGAAAATTCTTTAGTTTGATCATTTTCAGAACAGTTTATTTATTTTATCAAAGATAAGTAAAACTTAATTAATAATATAATCTTTGTCATAAATGTAGGAAGTAATTTTTAACATTAAAATTAATAAATATATTGTTGAACAATTTTTATTTTTCAAAATTAACTGAAGCTAAAGGAGTATATAAACAAATTTGTTGCTATATTATTATTTTTGTTAACTGTTGAATTACATCAGCTGACTGTAACATTCATTGATTCTTTATATAAAAACGAAGAGTTTCATTACTATTAAATAAAATATAAAATTGATATTTTAAAAAACTTGAATAGTTTAAATATTTGTTAATAAATTAGTTTTTAATAGTTATACGAAGTAAAAATAAACAAATTTTAGGGTTTTTTATTTAATATAATCCATAAAGATCGTTAGAATTTTCTATCATTTCCAGGTAAAACGTCATGATATTAGAAGAATGTAATTATTAAACTATAATCGTTGAAACATTCAGTTAGCAAAAGTATTGAAAAGAAACTGTTGTCATTGACTAAAATAAAAGGATTAACTAAATATTTTTTAGAACAAAAAATATTACGAATTGTGTTTTCTGTATGACGTTTGGTTAACAACGAGAGTAAGAGAAATAGTATTCATATGTCTAATTAAATTCTTTTTTTGCTTCTATACTACAAAATATTCTTCATCTGCGACAACATCGGAGGCATTTGAGAAAAAGTCTAACATTATTTATTAACAAAGCAGAACAGTAAAAACTTTTCTTTTTATGAACAACATTTCACCAAACTTCAGGTATTTCTTTTCTACATTTTAAGAGATTTCTATGAGTATTTAAATCTTAGTCTTGTCAAAACATGTGAATATATTTGATCTAGTCAATAATTTTTTTTAAATTATCAAGAAAGAATTATTTGATATTTATTTTTAAATCTCATAAAAATCATACAACTTTCATTTCAGATTCGCCGTTATTGTGATATATAATGATTGTAATAAATTCAATATGTTTTGTTTTTCTACCGTTATTTATCTTAACTGATTTTTTTATTTTATTTTATAGAAGCAAAGATTTTTCTTTAGAAAAAAGACAATATTGTAATTAAAAAATTACTTTTTAAAAGAAAAGTAGCAGAGTAATATATTAGATGAAAAGAAAAAAAACAAAGTTTTCTACCGACTGAAATAGGTTAAATCTAAATAACACAATTTGTTTATATCAACAAAAAATATTTTAAATAAGACATGAAGTCTTGTTCGATATCTTTGTTTTGGGCTTAGTTTCTCTTATTATATTTCTCGCATCAGTGATGTACTATATAATACTTAACAAAGATACATAATACTCAAGAGTGTATTTGATTGAATGATATATTAATAAATAACTGGGTGTAATCTCTATTAGTAACTATATGATCTCTTGAAAGAATTAATTCTATTTTAAATTAAATAACAATCAAAAACTGTTTAGTTTAACAAGAGATCTTACTGACAATGTAATTAGACAATTTCTTTTTTTGTAATATATGAAACATGAAGACATTCTACATCATCACACAATATATTTAAATCAACTTAAAATATAAATACACATCTAGAAAATTATTATTTCGAAAATAAACTATTAAGATATTTAATTCTAATATTTATTATACATGATCATGACTTTATTTGAAAATTAGAGAAAGAAAAGCTTTTTTATTTATCTATCATTTATAAAAAAAAAAGTACATCAACGGTGAGGACATTTTATTAAAATTAAAAGAAAAAAACAGAGAAAAATTGTCTTCACTACCAATGGTTTATTATAAATAATAAATAGACAAAAAACAAAAGACATTTACTTTTATTGAAGGAAACAATACTAATGAGCTTTTTTTTTTACTTTGTTCATATTATAAGTTAAATTACATAAGTATGTACATCAGAATTTAGTAGATTTATCATTCGAAGTTTCTAGTATGTTTTGATGCACTAATAAAATTATTATCAAGTTCTTATTGTGTAGAATCATTTTTTAAACATGTATATAATCAGTAATATTCTGAAGTGCGAAAAGTAACTTTAATATATCAGGCTATATGACTCATTCAGGTGAATAGAAAAAACTAAATAAATAAACTCGGTTGGGTAAGCCCGGTAGAGTATCTTCGTATAATAGTTTTTTTTAAATAATTACGAATTTTAGCCAAGTGTATTTTTGATTTGCACAAAATTTATTCAGAAAATATTGAAATCTTTTATAAAAATTATATTTATGGATTTTTTATTTTAGAAAAAGAATTCAATTATGTTTTTTTCCTATCAACACTTGTTGTTTCTTATTTTAATCTTATATCTACAAAGAACATCAAGTAATAGACAATCATTTATCGATTTATCTCAACTTGGTTTAGAATTTATTCCGGTCAATGAAAATCTTCTTCTTTTAGTTGATATCAATGCTAATTCAATTATAATTTGTTCAAAAATATGTTTTTCAAACATATATTGTCGAACATTTAACTTTAATATTCAATCAAAACGTTGTCGTCTTTATGAAGGTGATATAGATAATACAGGATCAATTATTAATTCTCAATTAAGTCAGTCAATTGTTGGAACAATTAAATTAACTACAGATGATTTTATTGATTATGGACGTCCTTGTAATTTTTGTGTGAATAAACCATATTTAATTTGTATGAATTTTACGTGCAAATGTCAATCGCATTCATTTTTCAATGGATCAATGTGTCAGAGTCAAAAATTTATTAGAGGTACATGTACTAATGATATACAGTGCCGAAATGATATTAATCTCACGTGCCTTTCAAGTATGCAATGTGGATGTAAGTATTATTAATCATTTTAGTATCCATCTTCTTCTCATTAAATCTAATTGAGATTGTATTATTTATTTTATATATTAAGAAATATCTGTTAATTAAATCAATTTCTCCTTAATACAACATTTATTCTTTTAAACATTTTCTACATAAAGTTTCTTAACCTTTGTCCCTATTATTTGATAATTTTCAAGATATTTTTGATCTTCTTTTAATATTACACATAAATACATACACATTTTTTTATTTAACTACGCTTTATATTAAGATTAAGAACTCATTCCGCACAGATCCTCAATATTTTATTTTAATTTTTTTTAACATTATTAATACTATAACTACTCATAGTAATATCAGATGAGAGCTAGTTAATTATCAAAAGCCTTAAGTGTGTGGACGAAATAAGATCTTCTTTGACAACAAACAGCTATATCATTACACTGATTATATCCTTCTAATAAAATAACTGAAGAATAGAAAAAATTATATTAATTTTAAAGATATATTTATTTGATTTTCTTTCCGATTTTTAGTCAGTGTCACCATAGATGATGCATATGCAAATCTTACTAACGCGACTATTTTGGCTACTACGACGCATATTAACACTACTATCTCCATTTCTTCTGATACTACTAAGACTTCAGATACTATGGGTTTACCGAGTACTTTAGCCAATAGTATTTCGACTACTACTATAACCACTACTATTTCAACAATTATGTTAACTATTACTACAACCAATAGCAGCACTTCAATAATAACTTCAGGCATCGGTGATACTTCAACAGCAACTTCTAATTCTGATAATACGGCAACCACTTCTATGAGTACTGATAGCACCTTCACAATTATTTCAACTACTGAAAGTACCATAACAACTAGCACAAGTACCGATAGTACTACAACAACTGTTTCAACTACTGATAGCACTATAACAATCAGCACGAGTACTAACAGTACGACAACAACTACCACGAGTAATAATACTACTCCAACAACTACTGATACCACAACAACTACTACGAGTCCTGACAGTACTACAACAACTACTTCAAGTACTGATACTACTACAACAACCACTTCAAGCACTGATCGCACTCTGACAACTACTTCAACTGCTGACATTATTACAACAACTACTACGACTACTGATAGTACCACAACAACAACTACGAGTATTGATATTTCTACATCAACTACATCAACTACTGATACTACTACAACAGCTATCACGAGTACTGATACTACTCCAACAACTGCTTCAACTACTGATAGCACTACAACAACAACTACTACAAGTACCGACAGCACGTCAACAACAACATCA